CCCTGGGGCAACATCCTGGTAAATCTCTCCCAGCCCCTGGGGCAACAGGAACCCTGGTAAATCTCCTGTGCACTCCCTCTGCAGTGCAGTCACATTCCTGTAACACAGTGGCAGGAACGTTTCCAAGTGTTCCAGCTGTGCCTGAAGTACCAGGCCCCCTTCACAGTTGATAAAACTCCTTCATTCAAATGTCGTTGGGTTGTATGGGCTCAGAATTTACCTTTTCTCTCGCTCCCCATCGGTCTTTCTCCCTGCCTCTTCCACACGCCTTTTGGCCTCTGTCTCTTTCGCTGTCTCTCTCTCTGTGTCTGTCTGTCTGTCTCTCTCTCTGTGTCTCTCTCCCGTGCCCTTTCTATATTTGTTTCTAAATAAAAACCGAAAGAACCGCGGATGCTGTAAATCAGGAGCACAAACAGAAGTTGCTGGAAAAGCTCAGCATCTCTGGCAGCATCTGTGAAGGAAAAAAATCAGAGTTAATGTTTAGGGTCTGTTGACCCTTCCTCAGAACTAGGATCTGAAATGTTAACTCTCTGTCTCTGTCTCTGTCTCTGTCTCTCCCTGCCTGTCTGTCTCTCTTTTGTGTGCAGTGTTCCCCTCCTCCTCCCCCAGCCCCGCCGTCTCTCTGTATCTAAGAGAGAGAGACTGCTGAAGAAGTTTACAGCTCTGTGCGTGTTCCCTGACGTTGAGCCCGTTGTTGTGATTTTTCTTCCCCCTCCCCCTCCCACCTCGTTCCTGTTACCTAGGAGTCCGATGGCGGCCTGTACGTCTGCATGAACACCTTCCTGGGCTTTGGTAAGCAGCATGTGGAACGGCACTACCAGAAGACGGGGCAGCGTGTCTACCTACACCTGAGGAGGACCCGCCTGCCGGTGAGGAGGGGTCCGCGGGAAGCCGTTCGGCCCGTCGGGTCCGTGCCTGAGCCGATCCCCGTCCACTCCCCCCTCTCCTGCCTTAAAAAACAAAATCTTGCTCGGCCCGTAATGTGGATAACCTCGCTGTCTGTGTCTCCATCTCTATCTCCGTATACGAAACCTCCTTCCATCGGGTCCACCCCCTCACCCCCCCCCCACCCCCACCACTGTCCTTCCAAACTCCCAGCCAGTATGGACCCATCCTCTCCCCGTGAGGCAGGTCCCCCCCACCCTGGGATCAACCGTGCAAACCTGCTCCTGGCTGCCTCCGATCCCAGTGTTATGTCTGCTTGGATACGTGGCCCCCAACTCGGCCCCCCTTGCTCCGAGACTCTCTCCTCTCTCCCACTCGCTGTGTCTCTCTCTCTCTCTCTCTCTCTCTCTCTCTGTCACACACCCTCACGCACTCAACCTCTCATCGACGCGCATGCTGTCTCTCTCTGCCTCTTCTCCGTGCTCACCCTCGCACTCTCTTGCATGTGCTACAACACGCACGTTCTCCCATTACGCACGCGCGCATTCTCTCCCGCAGACGCACACAGCGTCTCTCGCGTGCTCACGCTCTCCCTCACGTGTGCGCAGTCTCATGGGCGTACGCGCTCTCTCTCTCTTGCGCACGTGCTCTCACACACAGACACACAAGATCTTTTCACGTGTGCGCTGTCCAGGGCCAGCGGCTCTTTGTCAGTCGCACACTGTCTCTCTCTGCAGGCTGTCTCTCACGCCAACACAAATACTCTCTCTCTTGCATGTGCCAGCTTTCAGATGCGCGTGCTCTTTCTCTCTCTCTCTCAGACTCTCACCTCTCGCGTTCACGCTCTGTCGCCCCCTCCTGCACGCGCCCTGACTCTCTCTCTCAGACGTACTCTTGCACATGTGCACTCTCTCTCACTCTCGCGTTCACGTTCTATTGCTCCCTCCTGCACGCGCGTGATCTCTCACGGAGGCACACGCCCGCTTGCACGCATGCTCTCTCTCTCTTTCTCTCTCGGTCTGACTCTTGCATTCACGCTCTATCACCCCCTCCTGCACGTGCGCTATCTGTCTCTCAGATGTAAACACGCTCTCTTACACATGTACTCCCTCTCTCTCTCACACTGTGTCTCTCAGGCTTTCACTCACGCGTTCACGCTCTATTGCTCTCTCGGATGCACATCCTGTCTCTATCTCTCTCTCTCAGAAGCGAGGCTTGCATGCGCCTCTCTCACTTGCTCCCTCAGGAGCCTCTTAATCCCTGCCTTGCTGTTTTTCAGAAGGTGGATGACGGGAGCAGTGGAGCCGGTGATCCACCCAAGAAGAAACCGACTCGTTTGGCCATCGGTGAGAGGACAGGACGGGAGGGGAGGTGGGAGGGGTGGTGTGTGGAAATACAGAGCTCCCTGTACATCACCATGACGGCGTAGCCTACTCCCTCAATCCCCCACTTTATACCCAGCGTCAGCATCGAGCGGCTCCCAGGGACGGGGGGACAATACAGAGCTCCCTGTACATCACCATGACGGCGTAGCCTACTTCCCCCTCAGCTCCCACTTTATACCCAGCGTCAGCATCGAGGATATGGGAAGGTGGGCCGAGGGGAATGGGGGAAGGTGGGAAAGAAGAGGAATAGGACGGGGGCGCTGGAGGACAGAAGTTGGGCGAGAGAGAGAGAGAGAGAGAGAACAGAGGGGTCGTCAGATCGGAGGAAATGTTGGAGTAGGAGGGATCGGGGCAGAGATGGAGGGAGGGAGGGAGAGGGTGGGGAATGGTTGGACGAGAGAGCTGTGTGGGAGTGGGAGAGAGTGGGCAGTGGGAGGGAAGTTGGGGGAAGAGAGAGGGGAGTGCAATGGAGGGAATGGGGAGGATGAAGGTGACAATGAGAGAGAGAACACTGTCTGATACTGGAAGGGGCCAGGGCTGTGACTTTTCACCTATCCGTGCCCCTGACCGTTTTGTTTGTTTGACTCTCACTGCCTGCAGGGGTGGAAGGTGGCTTTGACGTGGAAGGGGAGAACTTTGAGTACGACGAGGAGGTGAAAGTGGTGATTCTACCGGAGCACGCAACCATTCCCCGGGAGTCGCTCAGTCTGATGCCAGCTGCAGCCTGTGACAGGGTATGTAACAGGGTTCGGGGTCAATCCCAGACACCTGGGGCAGTGACTGTATCCCCACTTTATACCCAGCGCCAGCATCGAGCAGCTCCCAGGGACAGGGGGACAATACAGAGCTCCCTCTACATCACCATGACGGCGTAGCCTACTCCCTCAGCCCCCACTTTATACCCAGCGCCAGCATCCCTCAGCCCCCAATTTATACCCAGCGCCAGCATCGAGCAGCTCCCAGGGACAGGGGGGACAGTACAGAGCTCCCTCTACATCACCATGACAGCGTAGCCTACTCCCTCAGCCCCCACTTTATACCCAGCGCCAGCATCGAGCGGCTCCCAAGGACAGGAGGAGACAATACAGAGCTCCCTGTACATCACCATGACGGCGTAGCCTACTCCCTCAGCTGCTGTCAAACCCAGATTGTGACTAGAATGATCTGTGATTGTAGGTGACTGCTTCAGTCGATGGCCTCCTAGCTGCTGACTCGGCCTCTCGGAAACAAGAGATACAGGCCTGGGATGGGGAGGTACGTCAGGTCTCAAAACATGCCCTCAACCTCAAACAGATGGACAACGACGTTCGAATCCCACCCTGGTAAGTGCGTTGCTGAGTTAGTCTTTGGCCCCTAGTGGCTCCCCTCTCTCTCTCTCTCTCCCCCCCTCTCCCTCTCTCCCCTCAGCCCTGTGTATCCCTCTCCCTGCCCGCCACGGTCGCTCCCGCTCGCCCTCATCTCCCCCACCCCGCTCGGCCTCACACCCATTCCCCCCCGCCTCCCCACCACCACCCCAGACGCTCCCCTCGTCCACATCCCTCCGCCCTGTTGCATGCTGAGCTCTCTCTGCCCCTCTGTGTGACTTTCTGACCCCACTCTCCCCGCTGTGTGTCTCCCCCCGGATCAGTGGCTGGAAGTGTACCCGCTGCGACCTGAAGGAGAATCTCTGGCTGAATCTGACGGATGGTTCCATTCTGTGCGGCCGCCGCTATTTCGATGGGAGTGGAGGTAATAACCATGCCCTGGAACACTACAAGCAGTGTGGCTACCCGCTCGCTGTCAAACTGGGAACTATTACCCCCGACGGTGCTGGTGAG